AATAGAGCTGGAAGGAATAGAATAGAATAGAATGGAATGGAATGGAATAGAATAGAATAGAATAGAATAGAATAGAATAGAATAAAATAGAATAGAATAGAATAACAGAGTTGGAAGGGACCTTGGAGGTCTTCCAGTCCAACCCCCTGCTTAGGCAGGAAACCCTACACCACTTCAGACAAATGGTTATCCAACATCTTTTTTAAAACTTCCAGTGTTGGAGCATTCAGGGACTTTGGAGGTCTTCTAGTCCAGCCCTCTGCTCCAGCCGGAGACCCTACAGCATTTCAGACAAGTGACTGTCCAGCCTCTTCTTACAAATATCCAATGTTGAAGCAGCCACAACTTCTGAAGTTGTGTTTCTAGTTAATTGTCCCCACTGTTTGGAAGTTTCTCCTTAATTCCAGGTTGCTTCTCTCCTTGATTAGTTTCCATTCATTGTTTCTTCTCCTGCTTTCTGGTGCTTTGGAGAATAAATTGACACCCCTCTTCTTTGTAGCAGCCTCTCAAATCCCGGAAGACTGCTGTCATGTCACCCCTAGTCCTTCTTTTCTCTAGACTAGCCAAACCCAAATCCTGCAGCCATTCTTCGTATGTGGCCTTTACTCATCTGAGTTGCTCTTCTCTTCACTTTTTCCAAAGTCTCAACATCTTTTTTGTAATGTGATGACCAAAACTTGATACAGCGTTCCAGGTGGTTTGAGGAATTATATGTGATTCATGTTGTTATCTCCATCCCCACCTTTGCCTTAAACCAGTGTCTTTTTTCCACCAATCTTGGCCACTTTAACATGGGTGGACTTCAACTCCCAGAATTCCCCAGCCTCGAATGGCCACTCAAGTAGTTAAAGTCATAGTCTAGAGCTACCTATAGCTCAGGATAAAACTGTCCTGGATTTTTTTATTTTACTAACCAGTCTTCACCAAACAACACGAACAATGTCAGGAAAATGATTTAGTAACTTGCAGTGCCACATTTTTATCACTTGGGAGAAGGAACACGGTTTCTTTGTGTTTCATCCCGAAATGGAGGAGAAGGAATGCTTTGATATGATTCAATCTATCAGCAACCATCAACTGCCAAGAGAAGGATTCGAGGCCGGCAGTTTGCTCATGGGGATAACTGTAGAATTGTTCTTTCTTTTCTAACATACGTGATTGCCAAAACAGATTTCCCATTCATAACGCCTTTGATTTCTTCAATTTCTCTGTTTTGAGGGCAGGTTAGGGAATACAGTGGCATTTTGCTATCTCATAGGCAGTGCTTGGTTTCCAAATTGAAAAGCCAGCTCTTTTGAAGTACAAGATGAACAGTTCAAAACTCATCTTACGTAAATCCGCACCGTAACCTTAAATGACCTCATATTTCACCCATGGTTCCTTTCTCCTAAATCCTGGAAAGATTATAAAGATGACAGTCCCTGAACACAGGTATCTAACATGCACGGGATGAATGACTAAGTTTTATGTTTAATTAAATCCGCGGTAAGGTCTTGCTCCCTTTGCATGAGACGGTCCATCTGATTGTAACGGGTGACTTCATGGATAATGTCATTCCATAGTTAACTCGCTAAATGGCACTGTGTCTCACTGCTGCCAGGCATTTCTTATGCAGTCTTATGCTCTTTTTCAAGACCCTCAAAAATGTTTCCAGTTACTTTTCTGACTAGTGTGCCCCTCAAAGCCAATTATGAGTGTGTGCACGTGTGCAAAGTGCGCCCAGCAAGCCACGCACACCGAAATGGTGGTAAAACTTTTTGAATCCTACCACTGGAGTCTGGGGGGTTGAAGTGTACACATCTTTAAAGTGACCAAATTGAGAAACACTGAGCTGAACAATTTATATTTTTTTATCTCACCTTGCCTCTTTTCCTTTTTTGATTGCCAGTGCTGCAATATGATCCAATTCAAATTCTCTTTCGATATCTGCCAATAGTTTTTCTATCTGCCAATAGTTTTTAAATGACAATTTGGCTATTCTTCTTATTAATGCTACCATTACTGTCTATTAATCCAAGGAATACCAGTCTTTGGACTGGATATTTTCTTAAGTATTTTCTGATGTTTGAAATAAGGAACATGGAGGTGTTTTCATAGCATATCTAAAGCTCCAAACAAAACATGTTTTGGCTAAATCACTGGTGTTAAGCCCAGTGCGTTTAACATTTCAAAATATTTGTGAATCTCTTTAGCATGACCTCAAGAGCTTGGATTGCTAAATTTGTCTTCCAAAGTCCTTCAACCTCCATTTGCAAATTTCAGCACTGTTGTTGTTGCCGTTGTTATTTCCACATTGGGATTGTGGGAGCCCCCCCCCCCCAAATCACAGGTCGTCCTCGACTTACAGCCATTACATTTAGCCACTGCTGGAACTTACAACGGCACTGAAAAAGGTATCTTAGAATTGGTCCTCAAACTTACAACTGTTGCAGCATGGTCACATTATCAGATTTTCAGCATTTGGCAACGAGCATGTATTTACAAAGGTTGCCACATCCTGAGATCACGTGAATGCCAATTGCGATCATCCCAGCTGGCTTCCGTCAAGCAAAGTCAAAGGGGAAAGCTGGATTCGCTTAAGGACCACCTG